GCCTGCACCCTGCAGCCAGGCACAAACTCAGCCCCATGGACCACATCTTCCTTGACATCAGAGTTCCACTTAAGAGATGTGACAGCTCTGCATAGTTACAGAAACACTGACAGAAGAAAGAATAACACTCATCCAGTCTACATTAAACCATCATGAAGTCCATTCATGTAATAAAGGAGAAAATGAATTTGTTCCTTTTTGTTTTCAAAATTGTTCACGATAGCAAAAACTACCACAAGTCTCACCAAAGCAGGCATTTCTCATAAATACCAGCTACGAGAAAGGGTGGAAATAGCAGGGTTTTTTAATGCTATCTTACAAAAAAGAAAATTTCTTAAAATGTAGAAAAAAATTGAAAGCTTACTTCATGAACAGCAGTAAAATTCTAAGGCTGAAGAACAACGAAAAACAAGTTTTTTTCTTTCAATATCATTGCTTCAGAGGGCCTGAGTGAATTTCAACACCGAAATTTTTGCAGACTACCTGCAGTGGAGGCATGAATTTACATGTCTTTGAACATCGGCAGGATTTGAACATGCAGCATGAAAGGCCAGAAGTGCCACTTGCAGAAGCCTCCTTGCCACACACCAACCCAGGCTTTCACCTCAGGAGTACATTGTGGTGTTCAAGACATACCTGATCACCATGGTCTATAACAGCTTATGAGGCCATCATGCAGTCACTGCTGTTCCACTCAGCTGAGACTATTACAACAAAGCCACTCACACAATGGAAGCTTCAGAGAAACTCATCAAACAAAAAGGGAGTTTTGCTTCCTCACTGAATGACCCTCAGCAGATGCAGCTATCAATCAAGAACAGCCATCTGATCATCATAGCAAGCTACAAAGCATTTACCTAAAAAATAATTTTATGCTTTGAAACTTCATTATGGAACTTCAAACAAATGACAGGTATCTCCAAAACAGAGAGAGACTGTAGCAGTTGGCGCTTTTAAAATAAAAGCCTGGCCTCAATCAAAGAAAGCTTCAGCTATTTATTCACAACCTTTCCCTATCAGTTCTCAGGACCATGCTGATGGGCAGGATTCCCCATCTTACTAGAGGTTTCTTGAATTTTATTCTTACATTTTTCTTTATTTTTCAACCCTTACCTAAGTTATGGTTTACAGGACTTAGGGCTTAGCTCTCAGCTGTAGCTTCATTTCCTATGCTACACAGTGTTTTCATACTTCTAGTCCATCTATCCTTGGAGAAGAATAGACATGTCAGGGGAAACTTGCTTAACTTGTTCTCACAGTGATGGAAGAAGGAACTAGAAGGAACAAGCTAAATAAATATCCCAGCAAAAGAACCTTCACTGCTGTCAGGTCTGCTGCTTTAAGCAGTGTGGGGACTGCAGGTTACAAAATAAAGCTTACTTCAGGCTGTAAGACACCTGGTAGGTAGCAGCACAGACCATGGGACCAGCAGGCCATTTCCCACCGTTCTCAGCCCTGGGATCAGCTGCAGTCCCAGAGTTCAGGGGGTGCTGACTGCACAGGCCATAACCTCATGCAGCTCCATCAGCAGCCCTCAGAGAACAATGTGCGCCTAGCAGCTGAGCAAGATCACAGCCTACCAGCCTGGACACAGAGCCTCCTGTGTCCTCCCTTAGATGAGCACCCTCAGGAAATTCTGCCTTTACCCTGCAGCTAGTGAATCTTCTAAAGCTTTGGTTCACAATGGGCAACAATTTATTTATGACACCATCACAGAAATAGAAGTGCAGTACAGCAATAAGTAAGCAACCATCATCTAACATAAAGGCAAATAAAAGTATGCAAATTAATTTTACAACAACTTTTCAAACAGGTGTTATTTAAAAGCTATCTAGACTTTCTAAAGCCAAATGAAGAGAAAGCTAGAAAGCTATAGGGATGACATGTGTTATTTTACACATGCCATAAACATAACCTGGTAACTCTCAGATGACCAGCCTGCTCTCAGAACATGACCTTAGCAAGAGATTACAACTCTCCAGCATTCCACCCCTCTACATGTCAGCAATAGATGATTCATTGCAATGCTGGATTTGTGGAACCCCAGCATACCCTCTCTCCACCCACTACAAGAACAATAATACTGTTTCACACTGAGGTATGTAGTAAGGTGGTTGCTAATTTGCTGTCAGTGCTTTAGGTTGATGAGGACAGTGTGACAGTATTTCTACTGTGGCAAGGAGGAGCCTTCACCAAGGAAGCTTGAGAGTCCTGCTCCAACTGACTATAGAGTGGTCAACAAAGACCCAGGAAGGTACCAGCACCCTAACACCACCAAATGAGAGGGCAAGGAGGAATGCAGCAACCAAGACCTGCCAGCCACACACACAGACTGCCCTGAAGAGCAGGCAGTCATCTGCTGGGCAATGTTTGATGTTCCTATGCATCCTGCTTGAAAATGTCCAGAACTCATCTAAAAAAAGCTCATTATTGTGGTGAATCTGGACTTTGACTGGAACGCAACCAGGAAAACATATGCAGTTGTGTTGGCTTGCTCAAATTCAATAAACTGAATTAAGATTCTAATCAGCATTTTGTAGTTTTAGCAGTTCATTAACTCCTGAGTACTGGATCTGACAGCTTTAAAAAAATCCTCAAGTTTCTAAAAGAAATAATTGTGAACGGTTTGCACACATTGATATGAAAAAAATATCTTAAAAAAGGAAGGTATGCTTTCCCAGAGTATGCCTGGAGGAGGTGTGCATGAGGCCCATAAATAATGCCTGGATTATTTGCAAACACTGACAAGAAAGGAATTATTTGGGTTTCATGGGTCTTTTCATTGTTGGTGGTGGCTTTTGCTTTTGAATTCCTGGGACAAAGTATATATATATTTTAATTGTGAAGTTCCTAGACTTAGAGAATTAGAAAGTAGATCTATAGAACAATATCTCTGATTTCATTATCTCCTTCAGTAAGACAGCAGCCAAAGGATTTCCAGGACAGGATGCAGCTGAAGCTACTGGCTAAGCCAACCAGGGAAAAGGAGATTCCTCAGGGACAACTTTCTGGATTTACTTATAACAATGTGAGAACTGGCTGTGATTTTAGCAACTTCTAGCACAGCTTCTTTGCTCCTCTTGAGCCAGTGATATCAGTCTTCTTATATGGCCTTAGGTATATAAACAGGTAAAGTAGCATCAGCACTACAAAGGTCATATTTCATATGTTAATTATATGAATCACTGAGGTAAGTATTCTTAGAACTCTAGTTATTGAGCAGCGAAGTGTGTCAACATGAGAAGAGGCAGCAAATCCTGAATGTTTTGATCACCTTCTGGTCTGCAGTATAACAGCTGAGCAGGGCATTTTATGAAAATTGTTTCTCTACAATGATATCAGTTTTACTAATACACACTTTCCCAACTTCAAGGAAAAAATATACTACATTATTATAGAAAATATACTAATATACTAAACATACATTTTTTTTTTAACCTCAAAAAGTCACATGCGGGAAAATAAATATGAGTTGCAAGTGGACTATTAGTAATTATTGATATATTCATCTGGGAGACAAATCATGCAGTGACTAAATTTCGTCAACCAGACAGGGAAAGGACAACACATTTGCTTAGAAGTAACCTGCCATCATTTTCTTGGCAAATGAAATGAGCACTGAAAGAAAAGTAACCCAGGAAGAGCTGACCAAAGTTTGTAACTGTAACCTGAGAGCAAAGAAAACACTGGTCTTTCCCAATATCCACCTTCTAAATCACATTGTGCTGTATACCATTATAAACGTTATCCCACATCTCATTATTCTTTGAATGAGTTGTACTTAGCTAGAAATGCAAAGTAACAATCCTTGAAATATTCCGAATTAAAAAAAAAAAAAAGTAACCAAGAGAAGTATTCAAAAGCCTTTACTACTAAAATCAAATGGAAAACTGAACTCCAATACAAAGAAAAATCATAGATTAGCTGCTTTGAAAACACTGAGCTGATAGAGCAGCACCAACTTCATACCACAGTGCCACCCTCCCGTCCAGGACTTCCACAAGTTTGTTCTTCCTGTCCATTCCACAGCTCAGTTTGTCAGACCACTTGTATCAGTGTTGAGGATGTTAACAGAGGTCTGAGTAGTAGCTTAGTTAGGGGATGGACTGGGCATAAAAATTCAGGAAAACTGATAATACAACTGACACACCTGAGCCAGAGTGTGGCTGCTGTGCATTTTTACACGTGCTGACTTCCTTAGCAAGCAGAAGACCCTAAACCTAATATTTTAGAATTCAAGATATGCCACTGTGAAAGTTGTGTCACACAAGAGAGGATGAGACTGCCGGCTACAAGCGGTAATATTGCTGCTGTCTTTCTGCTGGACTCCCTCAAGCAGCTGAAGCCCACAGACAGGCAGGGTGCAGCAGGCAGGAGCAGAGGCAGCACCCACTGAGCCACTCGCCCTCTTCCCTATCTCGTGCCGGACCACGTCCAGGCCCCGTTCCAAAGCCGCAGGCTGACTCTCGGCAAACTCGCACACAACTTCATGGCCGAGGTCTCAGAGCAAGGATGCCGCTGCGGTCCCGCTGTGCCACGCGCTCAGCCCGGCCCGCAGAAGGGCACCCGAGGGCAGAGACCCGCGGGCACTGCAGCGGCCCCCCCGCGCCGCTCAGCCACGCTGCGCCGCACCAGAGCACCTGACCTCCTCCCGGGGACGCGGGCCCGACCCTGGAGAACGCGGCTGCGGGAAGTGTCGGGCTGGGAGGAGGGGAGGCACCGCCCCCACACGCCCATCGGCTCGCAGCCGCCCCGTACATCGGGCCGAGCCTGGACGCCTTTCGCAAAACGGAGCGGCGCTGCCGCTCAGAACCAGAGCCGCCCCGACGGGGGCTGCGGAGCCGGGGGCTGCCCCGGGTCGGCACGACGAGCGGAACCGCGGAAGCACGGAGCTCGCAACGGCGGCGAGACTCTGCCCCCCGCAGCCAAACTTCGCCGGACGCTCCCGGCCGGGCGGAGCCCCCTCCCCGCCAGCCCGCCCCGGCAGGGCGAGTGGGTACCTCAATGTCCACCGTGTCCCGGCTCAGCACCCGAGCCATGCTGTCCGCACCGCCACCGCCTTCCCCCGGCTCCCCGCAGCTCCGGAGTAGAGCGGAACGCGGGAGGAGGCGGAGCCGGCAGCCCGGGCTGCAACGCCCCAGTGGGCGGGCGGCCTCCCCGCAGCGCCGCGCGCCTCACGGGGCGCCCTGAGGGCAGGGGCCGCGGCGGCCCCCGCGAGCGGGTTCACCTCGAGGCCGCGGAGGGAGGAGCGGCCCGGCCCGCCCCCGCCGGAGCTGCGCGCACCGCCGTCAAGCACGCGGCAGCGCCCCGGGTTCAGCTGGCACGCGCGGCCTGTCCGCCTTTGCCCTCGTCCTTCGCGTCTGGCTCCCCGGACAGCAGCGAATTGCCACCGGCGTGTCTCACCTCCATGAGAACGTCGCAGCCAGCAGCGCTTGAGACGGCCGAAGACGAGCCTTCCCCTCCTCAACGAAGACTAAACCTTCCCTGCACCCTCGGGAACAGCTCTGGCTCGCAGCAGCAGCAGCCGTGCCCAAGGGGTGCCCCAGGGTAGCCAGGTGCTGCACCTGTGCACTCTGAAACATTCTCTTCTCTCCAATAGTTTGGTGGTTTGACACCTCGAAGACAGTATTTACAGTACCACTGAAAAAAAACATTCCCACTGTAACACTGTATGCAAAGGGGTTTGTCTTCTCTGCTACCTTGCAACACCAGAAGTATTCAGCATTAAAAAAAAAATGCTGAACAGCTGATCACATCTGTTTCCAGACAGTACATCCAGGCACCACACCTGTGATCTCAAAGCACTTTAGAGCTGTTTTTTCAGCTTCACAAGTACAGAGGACTTCAGTACATACTCAATCTTTGATTTTCCTATTTGTGTGCCAAGAAGTTTACCACATACATTCTCCTTGAGAATCTCAGATCCAGCTCTCAACATATTTTACAGCACTCATATTATCCAGTTAACTTTCAACCCTACTTTTTGTTATTATAGCATTATCAATATTTTTAAAATTTAAACTCTTACTTGCTGAAGAGGTGCAAGTAGCATCACTGTGCCTTTGGGTACTTTGATTTTCTTCCTTTCACATATCCTGAGAGTGCCTCTTAGAGAGCACAAAAAAAATCATAACTGTAGTTACAATAACATTACATCTACCTTCACAAATGAGCACTTTTGAGATGCCCAGTGGAGACAGCTTACCATATAAAATGTGGAGAAATAAGGCTGTGGCCCTGAGTTCTGAGCAAGAGCTGACTTTCCCCAGTCCTTCTCAGCATAACACATAACAGCACCTGTGAACAATTGTCCATGCCAACCAACTGAAGTGTTGACAGGAGAACTAGGAGCAGTGCCCCTGCACTGCTAGCACCCATCTGTAACCTTTCATTAACACTGGCTTTGCTGGATAGTCAGTGTGGGTGTGCTCCTGACCCACAGATACACATTGGATGGAAGAGTGCATTAGGCCCACCAGTCATTTCCACGAGGGATATTTTCCATATAAGTAAAATGCATTGCTTAGCATCCAGCTGCCTGCAGCTCACATTCTAATCCAATTGTTCTAAATACAGGTTGTATTCGCAGAGCCAAGCAGCAGCCACCAGACTTCAGCTGTTCTGCACCCTGCCAGGTTCTGAGCTGTCACAGGTAACAGCTTTTCGAAGATCTCCCACTTTTGGGGGAAGGTGTCAACGCCTTTCTCTCTCTCTCAGCAGGTTACAAATCCCTGGTTACTTTCACATCAAGGACCAGGTACCCATAAGACTATTGCCCCACTAAACCCAATGAATAGTAACAGCATTTACATGGATTCTTACTTGTAGCAATTCTGCTCTTAACAGCACTGAGCATCTCTACAGCTGAACTTTGTTTCAGGAAATAAATGACCAGAAACAGGGAGGCATGTGCAGCATCCCTCAGAATACACATATTCTGAAGTCCCCATTTTTCTAAGTTAAGAAATTTTGAGAGGTTCCACACAGCCTAATGTACTTTTAGCTATTTTTTTCCTGAATTTCCACACCTCTGGTTTCCCCTCCTCCTCTCCCAGAAGGGTTTCAAATGCAGAAACAGAGCATGTATGCTAAAAGCCAAACTTTCAGTGCCAGCATGAAATGCCATTGAGGCTTGGTTGAGTTATAGGCTTTTGAAAAATTGCCATTAACCTTTTGTTCCACATGCTTTTCAGGTAAAATTCACTCACATGTCAAAGAAATAATTGCATGTGAGCTTTCTACGAAAGCTTCCAGCCACTGCCTGTTGCAAGGACAGCTGCTTGCTGGGAGGGCAGAGCAGCAGCAGAGCAAGGCCATGCCCTTCCAGTCTGAATGGTTCCAGGAACACAGCCTGCAATCTAAAACAAACTATTCCTCCTCCAGCCACTGCAGCAGTTAATCTGTGAGTTTAAAGGGTAAGCTATAACTCTGAAAGTTCAGCATTCAAATTCTGTCAGTGATATATTAGTGAGCCTAGAGGTCTTAGTGTACTGACATCTCATGCAAACAACTCCCCACTTTTTCCTCAAAAACTGCCCATAATTCACATCAGTTCAAGTGTCAGAAATCAGGATATTCCAGACTATAATTTGCTGTGCAGTTGTAGCTTGGGACAGCTATACTGTCTTTAATTACACACTATCTTTACTGTAGGATCAGTCTCCTCATTGCACACAAGAAGTGACAGCTACAGTCTTATAGATAGCACCTCCCAGCTTCTAAACTTTTGATTTCTCAGCCCAGATTATTCACCTGCAGGGAGTCATCTTTCAAATTCACGGGGTTCAAGACAGACAGAACTGGACCCACACTGCTCTCCTATGGACTCTTTAGCATCTATGAGTGCACAGATTTGCAACTCTCAGTTTTCTTCTTTTCAGTCTGGCTTATTAACTCACACGTTGACAAGAAATATTCAAATTAAAACATCCTCACCAATTATCTTGCCTTTCTAATCTGCCCTGTTACAATTGAGCAGTGTTTTTCAGAATGAGTAGCGCACAGAGTAACATAGGATGCATCACAGTACAGGAGCATGAACGCACTAAGTGTGGGTTGTATGTAATTATGAATTCTGTTAGGGGGAACCCCTGACCATTACTCAGGCATAGCCTTTAGGCATGGAACAGTAAAGCCCAAATAGATGAATAAATAACAAAATGGCCACCATGTGAGCTTTGATAAGTGTCCAAATGCATTTAAAACTAAAATGAACTGTTCTTCAGCAAGTCCACTAATTTATTCCAGCCATCTGTGCCACTGTAAACAAAAGCTTCTTTCCCTAAACTGCTTTATAATTTTTTTTAGATGTAGCAAGGACTACAAGTTTCAACATGATTATCTTGGGAAAAAATAAGCAAGAGGAACCCACATATTTTCACACCACAAACATCTTTGATAATCACTATCAAGCAATTCAAAGAAATATTAAAAAAATAAAGCTTGTATCTGGCATCACATAATGTTTTCCTATTTAAATGCCACCAAATGTTTCTTTAGGATATTTTAGGGGACAGAAATCTGTCTCTTTTTCCTCCAGTCTCTAGTGATGACATCTGTAGACAATTCCAGTATTTATTACTAAGCTTGAGAACTGCTAAGTTGATGTTCTGGGTTTGCACTGGTTCAAGAGTCTTTCCTTCATATGCACCTCATCCTTTTCAGTCTCATAATGTGCTTCCCATATCATTGGACCTAGTCTAGGTAGAAGAGTCAGGCAATTCCCACATTTACAAGTTAGAAGATATATACATCTAACACAAGGGTCTCCTAGACAAAAGCACTTGCAACTCTCAGGTTAAGATGGGACTGACTTGGGAGCATTCACCTCCCTCTTTCCCAGGTCTAAGGTACTTTACAGGAAATATACAGTGCAGATCACTTTAGAGAAATTGAATAGTTGCCCAGTTACATCAGACCAGATTATCCTTCATGCACAAAAAAATATCCAACATGGGATCTTAAAACTTGAAAGCACTGAATTTACACTGAAACATCCTCTTCCAGTGCCAATTTTTTCAGTCCTGGAGAGTAAAAGCAAAGGCCAGCACTTTCCCAGTCACACACTCCTCTGGAATAAGAGGAGTATAAAACAAGCCTTGTTTCAGAGGATAAGACCATTTGCATCAAGGCTCAATGCAGTACACTGTCATTTGCATTTCTCCTCTCCCTGTGTGCAAGTTTCTGACAAGGGTCAGGTCTGCCCTTCAAGTGTTTCTGCCTGGTGCAGAAACAGTTCATTGTGCTACGGAAGTATAGCAAAATGATACCGAGTTCACACCAGGTGCAGAAATCCTCATGAATTCCAGTGGGTTTGCCTCTGCGACAACCATCCTTTCTACCCTCACTCCCCCGTGTAGAGAAGGTTTCTAAGTTTCTAAGAAGTCAGACTGCAAAGCCACTAGAGAAAGTCCTACTGCATGCCTAAATTGTGGCAACAGATCAATACTTCTCCACTCAGGTAAACACTAGAGATGGTGACTTACTACAGAGCTTAGGGCCATGCAAATCCAACTACCGCCATGCTTACAGTTTCAAAGGGAAGCAAGCAGTGAGATTTATTTATTCACTGAATTGCTAGTCTTGTCTGAATTTGCCTTTTTCAGCAATTGCAGGAGCATCAACAGAAGATTTTTTTTTAAAATAGTAATCCTGTAATTGTTTCTTTTCAGAGACACTGACAAAGTATGAAGTGGCTCTTTGAATTACTTAGCACAGTTATGTCCAATCTACAAGTTGCATGCAGCCAACCCCTGCCCCTCATTTCAAAGTCAGAAGCTCTTGCATGCACAACTATTTAAATATGACCTGCACATTTTCATGTTTTGATAGAAAACAGAGTTGTAAATATAAAAAAATGATTTTTTTTTTTGCAATCTTAAAATCTGTTCTCATATTTCTTTATAAAAACAGAAAGCATAGCTGCATATTTTTTGCTGTTCACAGGACTGTGTTTAGCCAATACATGAAAATACATGAATTTGCCATAACTTGTGCTGGCACAGCATCCTTCATTCAGCCCATATAGGGTTAGTAGGACATCAATGTTCAGCTGGTGCTGAGTGACAGTTGCATAGGGGAGAGATGCACCTTTATAGTGAGAGGTAGGGACGGCCAAAAC